TCTAGCTGAAGTACGGGACAAATCGCGTTCCTTTTCACCATGTCGCGTCGTACCATCAGATTATGCCTGTGTGTTTCGGTTCTCCATATTCCATGTTCACTTCATGTTTTGTTTTCGTACCAGCAATAAAGCTGAGGTTTTTGAGTTTCAAGTTAGTGTCTGAGTCCTGCGTTTGGATCCTCCTCTCCTCCTGCCCGCACACAGAGCCCTGACACTTATATGGCTTTCTCAGAGAAAGTAACGTTGCCCATTGTAAATGCGCCCCCATCGCGCGCCCCGGTCACACCCTCTTGCCAACCCTCAACTAAACCGAAAGCAGGTGAAGCGGGAAGAAACTGTGGAAGTTCTATCACCTGTGCGAAACCGGAGGTAAGTACATCTTTTCTCTTTACTGTAACTAGGTACGGTTTGCATACACGGACTGAATATCAATCTTGAAAATAAAACTGCGAGAGAAATCACTCTGCTGTCTCTCTCTCTCTCTACACGCACACACACACACACACACATACACATTTGTGTATCAGCGACATCTAATTTCTTATCTCAGCACGGTGTGCAGCATGCCCTTGAAATGTTCCCCAATTTAAAAAAAACAAACGTTGTTCTCTGTTTTTCTACACTATCTTTTCTAATCTATCCGATATAAAATGTTACCTGTAATATAGCTTTAGGATGATCCTGGTGAAAGCCACAATGAATTGGATCTTTATACAGTACTTATACAGGTTTTATAGGATCTTATTCACTTAATTATTATTTAAATCCAGAGATGGGAAGTAACAAAATACAAATACTTCATTACTTTATTTGAGTATTTATTACTTTTTACTTCTTCCAAACAGACGTGTTACTTAAAATTTAACAAACTTTGTCTTTAAACATTTCTTTTGTATTCGTTCTCACATTTGGGTAGATAATGGAATAACATGTCACAAATGATGGACAAGTCCACTGAGAAGCCCAGCAATGACACGGTGTCCACCAAGAGCAACGGATCCATCAAGAGCGACGAGAAGATGTCGACTGATGGTGGCATAAATGTGGGCATGATGGGGAAGTTTAGAAGGAGCCTCTGGCTTCCAACACAACCTCCGTCATCCAGTGAGTACCGTTGAGGTCTTCATAAAATCTGCTTTCAAATGTAAGCACTGATGGCAAGCTAGCCATCAGTGCTTACATTTGATGTGTCTTCTATGTTCAATGCCTAAAATCTTCATTGACATTATGAGTGTTTCCCAGCTTTTTGAGAGTGAGGGTTGCATATATTTCCCTAGAGGACCAGCATGAAAGCCTGTGTGAAGTCATTCCTCTGAGAAGTGGGTGCTATTGTACACACAGTATGTGCAGGTGGAAGGAGAAGTTGTGTGGGGAAAGTGCAGAAAGAGCAAAAAAAGAAATCTATCAAGCTGACAGAAGGCAGGCACCATTACATTTAGAAACTGTAGGTGCAGAAATGTGTCCCCCCTGTCCAAGACATTAACGGTGATGTTTGATTATAGGAGACATGCACTGACAAAGCTCCACCATGGCAGCTCACTCTGTTTACTTTTAAGGGAACAGTAAAAGTAAATAGTTGTAATTTGTACATATTTATTTAGTTTTCTTTTGTTCTTTTTAAATGTCCTACAGGAAATTTGTAGTGCAGTAAAAATCAGATGAAGATAGCAATGACAGATTTACTTTGACACAAACATTATGTAGGAGCAGGTAATGGGTAATATTTATCTGTAATAACTGGACATGATTAACGTGAGCTAATTATATAATATTATACTACAGTATATTTCTAAATAAGACTGGGTATTGTCAGTGATTTCTGCAAATGCAAGTTTATGATCATTTGTCTTGGTTATGTACTGTCAAAACCTTTCCAAATTATGAACAGATCCTAAAGTAGTTACTTTGTATTCATCCTGTTGCCATGACATACACAAAGTGAACTAACTTTTTCTCTACAATTAAAAATTCAGTGGGGAAAAAAAGAAAAGCGTCGGACTACACTGTACACCGCTTTAGACTGGTGCATAATAAGCAAGCCAATGAGGCAGAAAATAAAGATTTCTGGTGGGAAATTGGTCTCAAAGTACACTGAGAAAGATCCACGCTTTGTTTTACATCTCGTTGCTGAATCTGTTTACCTGCTCTTTAACTGTTTGGAGTTTTATCTGTTTTGTGGTTGTTGAAATCCATATTTAAAAAACTGTTCCAGGATTTAATGTATTAATATCAGATTATTTAAATTAAAATCGATTTGAATTTGGAAATTGTTTTTTTTAAACCCACCCGTATTTCTAATTAACTAGCAGCTCATTCTCTTTCTATTGATGAAACTTTCTTTAAAGATATAATGCATTTTAGGGTTAACTTGAAAAACATGATATTTGTATGCAAACTGAGATGTCATATTTACCTTGCCAATATACAGGTATATCATCGCCTGTGTACCTTTAT